CCCAACACCCCTGTCACCCCCCGACACCCCCAGGGGTCAGCCCCAAGCCCCACCTAACACCTCCCCGCCAGGCACCGACCCCGAGGAGTCCATCCTCAATGCCTTCAAGCTCTTCGACCCCGCCGGCACCGGCACCGTGAACAAGGACGAGTGAGCGGGGGACAGCAGGGACCCCTCGGGGCACCCGGCCAGATCCTGCCTCCCCCGGGCAGGGGATGGGAGCCGACCCCGGGCTCAGCCGTTCCCTCTTCCCGCAGGTTTAAGCAGCTCCTCCTGACCCAGGCGGATAAGTTCTCCCCAGAGGAGGTGCGGAGGCTCCCCTGGCCGTCACCGTCCCCGTCCCCGTCCCCTGCGCTGGCCCCTGCCCACCCCGTCCCCTCACAGTGTCCCTGCACGAGGGGGGACAACAGGACCCTCGGGGGGAGCAGGTGCCCAGGACGCCCGGCTCTGCCTGCCCACGGGGAGATGTGGGGAGGGGGACACAGCCCCCAGCCCCAGCTCCCCATGTGTCCCCCATAGTCCCTGTCCCCAGGGTCCCCATGTGTCCCCCATAGTCCCTGTCCCCAGGGTCCCCGTCCTCCACAGGTGGAGCAGATGTTCGCGGTGACGCCCATCGACGTCTCGGGGAACATCGACTACAAGTCCCTGTGCTACATCATCACCCACGGGGACGAGAAGGAGGACTGAGGGGACAGGGGGTCCCCCGCCCTCCGCCGCTCGCTCTGGCCAAATAAACCACCAAACGAGGGGATCTTGTCCGTCCGTCCGTCTGCAGTGGCCCCAGGGAGGGAGGTGGCTCTGTTCAGCCTGGGCTCTGCACCCTCGCATGGCTCCCGGTGTCCCCATGGAGCTGGCGTGTCCCCAACACAAGGGACAGCCCCCCGCCAAAGGATGGGCTCCCAGGGGACCCCGGCACGGGGGACAGCAGGGCCACTGTCCCCAAGAGACGCGGTGGCCTGGGGTGAGATGCTTTATTGCACGGGGAGGAGGATGCGGGGGCCAGGGTGGCAGGTGGGGCTGGGAGGGGGTTTCAGGGTTCCGGGGGTGGCACTCGGGGCCGGTCGCGGTCTGAGCCCTGCGGAGACAAGGAAGGAGCGGTGAGCTGGGGGCCACCGTCGCCCGTCACCCCCAACGCATGTGCCAGCGAAAGTGGCTCCTCCAAACTTCCCCCCGCCTCCAGGAGGCATTTTGGGGTCCCCTGCCTCACCCCCACCCTCCCGGGGCACAGGCAGGGTC